TCCTATAGAGGCGGATTGGCAGTTACGTTAAATATGATTTTATTAAGGTAACTGATATTTTTGCTTTGGCCAATTAAATGTACTTAATAGGTAGGAATGCAAATAATATCTCACCTTTGGCACAAATGCAAAAACTTTAAAATCACGTGGTAAACGAAAAAATTCCCCTTGAAAGATTGCTAAGGTCGAGTTGTCGATCTAGTGTGAAAGTATAAACTAGAAAATGATCACCGGTACCCAATCAGGTCACATGCATCCTTAAAAGATTCTTGTCCTCTCTCATGTAACCTTCCCAGAAATGAGTATGTCAAATATACCTTTAGTTGGCATATTGTAATCATTATATTTTCTTTTGTAATTTGTACAAAACACCACATTGTGTCTCACCAGGGTTCACGTCCAATTCATCACTCACAATAAAGCACTCAAAGAGTAATTTATCATCTTCTCGATCTAAAGATCTTGTTGATCCCATTAATTATTTGTTTCTAACTTTCTTAACCCCATACATTGTATATATTTGTGTTTAGTAACCAATTGTTATTAAAACCAAATTACGTAGAAAACCCTGTGCAACAAAGCAAAGGAGATCGCCACACACAAACAACAGATCGCCGAACTTGAAGCCCTACAACCTCGAAACCTCTGCATTGGCCTATCCAAGATCTCCCATCCCATTTTACTTCCTCAAAGTCTCGATTTTTCTCCATATTTTAATTCCCCAGTTTCCTCTTATATTTTAATTCCCGACCTCGATCGGTCGGGAACTCTCCGGGGACTTTTCCGGTGACTTCCATGGCGAGATTTTCGGCAACGTCTAACAAGCTTGGAGCGCATTTTCCTACAAAATAAAAGATCAAAATAGAAATAAAAATCACAAGACATTAAAACGACACGAAAAACACAAAAACTAGCAAAAAACAATTAAATGGACCGGGAAAACTCTAAAACAAACTAAAACGAAAACAAATAAAACACATAAAAACACACAAGATAACAACAAAAACATACAAAACAACTTCCTACAGTCGATGCATAAAGAATCCCTCTCATGTCTTCTATGTCTTAAGAAATATGGGGACATATCTCCTTGGATATAGTGAAATCACAAGCCGAAAAGGTAAGAACCCTTTCTCGAAATCTTGCATGCTAAAACAAGCCAAAGCCAAGACACAATCTATGTACAAAGATTGTAATAAGCAAAACATTCTGTTCCGAAAACTGGAGCTGGAGGGAGTTCTAGAGCATATATTTTTTAAGGGAGTGAAAAGTGTTCCTATGATTAGAGGAGGAGTATTTATACTCGACTAGAAAGATGTGGACCCTCAAAACACAGAGAAACCTGCGGCCCTGATCAAGCACAAAAATTGATGGCACGTACTTCAAAGCGACAACAGTGTCCTTTGAACTCTGCATTTATGGCTGGTGTGTCTGACACATCTTTTAGTAGTCAAATCGTTTCCCTTACTCCATCGCTCGAGGTCGTAAGAAGTAGGTGCGCCGCTATGATAATGAGAAAGATTTCTGCATATACACCCAAATCGGGGGAAAGACTATATTATATAGCCATAACTTGGCTAACCGGAATAGTGCCAAGTATAAATAGGTCTAGCGATTCAAGAGCTGAGCCAGATCGACTAATGAGACCAAATATGGACGAGTAGTCGAAATAGATCAACCGGTCAATGACTAAGTCGACCTTGTCATGCGGGCGACCTAAACAACCATGGCAATAAGGATAAAACTAAAAGAGAAGGGTGATAGATGACTGATCATACATCTCGACCAAAATATTCTCAGACGTTTGGACGACTTGATAAAGACGGCCTAAGCGAAGAAGACGTGAGTAAACATGTTTTTATTCGAAAGAATGTAATGAAAAATATAAGAAATCTAGTGATGATAAGGATGAGATAAGGACGAGGGGGAGATTAGTTTTTGGGATGAGTGGTGGTTTGGTGAGTGTCCCCTTTCGAGCACTAGACAGGTTACCCACCTTCCCTTTCTACAGGTGGAGGACCTGTGGACGGAGGGGAGATAGGATAGAGGCTAGAGAGGATTCTGGGTACTGGAGCGGGCCTTAGTGATCAGGTGATAGATGAGATCCAACAGATTCCCATCTTGAAGGACGGTTTGGATGGTATGAGGTGGAGAATTACATCTTCGAGTGCATTCTCTACGACCTCAGCTTGGGGGAAGTACGACTAGGTGACAGGCCTAACCTTCTCTTCGGGGACATCTGGACCGACCTACTTACCTCTACCATCTCTGTTTTCCTTTGGCGCCGCCTACCGATTGACACTGTGATGCAGATGAGGGGGTTCTCCTTCCCCTCGCGTTGCTACTGTTTTGCTGAGACCGGAGATTTTCAGACGGAGACCTTTACCCACCTTTACCAGTTATACTCATATCCCCCTACCTTCCAAATATACTTTCTTTGAGCTCCTGTGTTTTTTCAGACACCGCACACACATTAGACACGTGAGCTTCCTTATTCTTTGTCTGATCCTTTGGGCTACCTGGACAGAAAGGAATAATGCGAAACATAGAGATAACCCTTTTTTGTGTTCTCATATTATTTTGCAGGTTGACCGACATCTCTCCCTCCTCACGGCTTTGGGCAGACTCACCCAGAGAGACTGGACAGGCTGCACGCCACCTCACCACCTTGCACCATGTTCACTAATTATTTTCGCTATCCGCAAGTGTACGGAGTAGCTATAGGTAGTGGCGAGCAAGGTCGTATTCCACAGAGATTGTAGTTAAATTAATTAAGTACTAAAATAATGACGATTAAATATTATCTAGACTAGTGAATTGAATGATGGTTATAAACTAAGAATTAAACTAAAAGCTAATTTATCTAAAAAAATAAAAATATAATAAGATACAAAAGTTAGATTCTAGGCTAAGTTCCTCGGAATTAATTCATGAAATGTTTATATTCAAACAAACCTTATTTAATTTTACCAATCGTAGAAATAATCACTAAATTGATTTCAAACCTTTCTCTCGAACAAGTTAAATCGTAGATATTAATTGTTATCTATCTCCTCTCGGTCTCAAGATGAACAACTAACTCCCATAAGTTTCTAGGATTTTCGTTCTCTCGCAAGGTCCTATCAATCTCTCGGTCCGTTTATTCTCTTACGTTATACATCTCTCAATTCTAGCAATCAATTATCTCCTCTCGGTCTCAAATAGATCACAAATATGCATTCATAGTGGCCATCTACTCACACAATAATAATAAGCACAAGAAATTTATAAACGAAAGATAAACCGGAATGAAAGGAATAAAAACTAAATCATCAATCAATCCGAGTACTAAGAAATCCTAGAATCTAAGATAAATCTAGCCTAGAAAAATGCTTTCAAAATAAGAAAAATAGATATAAAATATTGAGTTCGAAAGAGGAAAACAAAAAGAAAGAAAAAGCTTATTCGGCTCCGACGATCCTTTCTTCTCGACTTTCTCCCTCGTCTTGCTCGTGTTTCGAGCCTTAAAAAGTCTCCAAAAATCTGAAAAATACGTCCAAGATTCCCCAAAATAGTTGGTAACAAGTCCTATTCGAAATAGGTTGAAAAATCCCTAAAAATAGAAAAAACGCGTAAAATCCGTACAAGTCGCGCCCAGGGTCACACGACTCGTGTCATTGGTAACACGAGTCGTGTGACAGTGCCGAGAGCTCAATTAGCGACCCGTCGAAGCGACACGAGCCGTGTCTCGGTCTCACACGACCCGTGTGTACCTGGGAGTTCTAAACCGCACCAAATCGTCATTCTCAGCTCGTTTCGTGGCTCCTGGTGGAGTTTCCGGCATCCCACGTGTTCAGAAGACGTCCAGGTCGCCGGACATGGCGAGGTTCCTGTTCGTGAAATAATTCCGGCTATTCCCGTCACTTCCGACAGCAGCTTCTCCAGTGCATATTTGACGTCTAGACTTCTTCTCCGGCGACAGGATGGCGGCGGAGAATGGCGAGGTGGTCTGGACTGCGTGTGGTGGCGGTTTGACAACTTGGTCGGGCAGCTCGAAGCTCAACAATGGCGGACGCCCGTTGCTCTCGTGAAGAAGAAAGTGAGCCCATATTTTCCCATGCAAAGTACATATAAGCCCTTACTAATTCATCAATTAGGCTTGGGAGTTTGGGCTGCTGCCATTTATCTCTTTATGGCCTTGTAGTTGGGCTGAAAGTACATTACACTCATCAATTTCGTGGCATTAACTCCAAATTCACTTGGGCAGTGTGTTGGGCCGTCCTAATGCATAGTTTGCACACCATGTTCAGTTGATTCTCGCCAATTTCAACGCCAACAATTATTTCAAACCTATTTCTTGTCAAAACTCAAATAAAAAAAAAACACCTCATCATATCTTAATAAATATAATTAAATAAATAATTAATTATATATAATTATTTATATACCAAACTACGACGAAACGGACACAAAACTCATTATAAAATGCACGTAAATATGACACATGTCACACCACCTCCGTTGGTGCCTGTCCAGCATCCACGTCCCAGAGCTATTGTTTGGATGAAACCCGAGTCGCCTTGGGTTAATCTAAATACTGATGGAGCCTTTGATCGACTTACTGGAGTAGCAGGAGGTGGGGGCCTGATTAGGGATCATAGCGGCGCCCTTATTGCTACATTTCATGCCCCTCTTTGGGCCTCTTCGAGCTATAACGCGGAGGTTCAGGCGCTTCAGATCGGTCTTCAGATTGTTGCTTCGATCTCCTCTCACATTTGGATAGAGCTGGACGTTGTCGCTGTCATCACTCTTTTGTCATCTGGCCATCAGGGCACGTGGCAGATCCAGCATCCTCTCATGCGTATCAGAGCCACTCTTCAGTCGATTCGCTCTCGGATCTCGTACATCTTCCGCGAGGGGGACTGGCCAGCTGACTTCCTCACTGGCATTGGGTCCTCCACCCTCCACAGACGTATTCTTTACCCTGACGATATCCTTCTCCGCCTCCACACCCTCATACGGATGAACCAGATGGGATATCTTTCATTCAGATTTGTGTAGTCGGTCCTACCTTTTGGCACATCTATCACACTATAATGTTGACATTAGCGCCGGAACTCTCCCCAGACCAGGATCTGTTATTTTTGTATTTCTCGCTGCAATTGTCAGCTGTTCCTTGTATTTTTTT